AAGAGCGGGGAATGAGCCCGCAGCCGACGCTGGGTCAGCGGATCACTGCAGGGCACCGCCCCCGCGGCCAGGACACGGCTCACCCGCCGGCCCGCCGTCGCCAGCAGAAGGCGGGGCACCGCCCCCACGGCCGAACGACCTCGCGGCAACGAGAACCTCGGATACCTGCGGGCAGCCTGCCTCCTCAAACATCTGGTCAGTCGCCGTCGCGATCCCCAGGTAGTCGCGTCCGCACAAGGCGCAGCGGATGCCCCGATCGTCGCCCAGGCACTTGCGATCCTTGCAACGCGCCGTTCTGCGCGCGCAAGTGCCCAGGGTCGCTCTCGGTCAGCGTCGCCTCAGACGCCTCCCTCGAGCTAGCCGCCTGCGCGTCGCGGACGTCCTTCACGTCTAGCAGGTCGACCACCATCGCGTCCTGCGGCCTGATCCTTTGCTGCAGCTCCTTCTTGGCCTGCTCGGGTCTTCACCCCTTGAGCCTAGGGCAGCGGGCGCCGCCTGCCCAGCAGGCCCTTCTCGCCGCACGCGTGGCAGTCGGAGCCCTTCTTGTCGGGCCCTGGCTTGGTCTTGCCGAAGATGGCCATGAACTTCTCGCCGCTGCCGGAAATCGAACCCGAGCCCCTGCCAGAGCCCATGCCGCGCGGCCCACCCGCAACTCCTTCACTCGCTTCTTGCTCTCGCGCACGGCGATGAGGCCCTCCATCATCGACTCCGCGCCGTTCACAAGGACCCCGAACTCTTGTCATTCTCGGCCTACTCGAGCGCCGTCGAAAGCCGCGCGTGGTTTTGCTCGGCGGCGAGAGCCCCCCCCGTCGCCTCGTCGTCGGCGTCGCCGTCGAAGCTGCCGAGCTCCGCGTTCAAGGCCTCGCGGTCGCCGTCATCGAGCTGGCCGGGCCCGCCAAGGCCCTCCGCCACGTCGGCTCGGCCCCCTTGAACTTCCGAAGCATTTTTTTCTCCAGCAACTGCGCCCCGGGACGGTTGCAAAGCGATCGGCCCCCTGATGCGGTCGAACATGTTAGATCGCCGCTCCGTCGCGCGCAGGTTGGGAAACGCTCGCAACATCGCCGGCGCCACCTCGCAAATCCCCAGCGCGCTCTTCTGCGCATCCGTCAAGCCCGTCTTCTCGATGAGCCACCAGCCCGCCGCCCTCGGCGGCAGAGCTGCGCCCTCCTCGCCCATCTGGATCCGAACCTCTCCGAACCTGATCACCCGCGGATTCAAGTCTTCGCCGGCGCGTCGATGCAACTGCGCGTAAAAAAAGTTCACCCCTGTGGCCTGTGCCGGTCGGCTCGCCCACGCCCCTCGTAGCGAGAACCGCCATCAAGCGGCTGATGCCTACCATGGTGTCTGGCCCCTCCCAACGGCTGCGCTCCTCCACGTAGGACTCGCCGCCCTCCTAGGCCGCCTCCGCGGCGGCGTCCACGCCCAGCTCCTCGTCTGGAACCCGCGTCCACGGCTTCGCACGCAGCTCCACCACCATCGGGGTCGACTCGCCCGGCGTCTCCGCCGGGCCCGTCGGGCACCTCGCCATCTGGGCCGCCCGCGACCAACTCGCGTCCAGGTTGGCCCCTTCGATCCACAACGCCGCGCCCTAGCGCCGCCGCCGCCCCGGAAATCCATCCCACGACGGGCCCCCCTCGAGATCGCGACTCGCCCAGCGGCGCCTGCGCCCAACTCGTCGAGGAACGCCCTTGCCACGATGCCCCTCCGCCGCCGCTTAGCCGCGGAAGAAAAGCGCCCGGGCTGAGCGCGCCTTCGCCCGTCGCCGGACGTCGCCCTGGAGCCGACGCATGCTGCATCTCGCCTGTCGCCGTCGTCGTCCGCGCACGCGCCCTGCTCGGTGAAAACCCCACTCGCGTAGCACTCCTTCTCGTAGAACTTGTTGCTCTCGCTGCCGCGCAGCTCGCGCGCCACCAGGCGCCCCGCTACCACTGCGGCGCCGCGGGGCCCCGCGCCTTCGCCCCCCCGGAACTGCAGCGGGGTCGGGCGGAGGAGCCCGGCAAGGCCCGGGGCGAGGCGCGCGCTTTTCTCCCCGCGGCATCCGCGCCCAGACGCCATGAAGTCGCAGGCCGGTTCGAACGCCGTTCGAGCCAAATCGGTCGCGGCGAGACGACGGGGGCATTCGACGAAAAGAGCGGGCAGAGCAGGGGGAGGAATCGATGAGAGGGGGGGGGCCGGAGGGCAGATCCATGAAGAGCCCGCCAGTTTCCACAACAAGGGCCACAAGACTGTTCCGAGTGCTCTCGGATGCCCCTCCGGACACCCCAAAGAAGCGAGAACGCGAATAAATCAGCGATGGCTGACTTCTTGCACTTCTGCCTCCGACGAATTCTTGGGGACTCAAGGCGGCCGCAAGATGGCCCAGCGGAGGCCCGGGAGGGGCCCGACCCAAACGGCCACGAGAAAGCCCAAGAGCGCCTGAAAAAGCATTCCAAAACGGCCCCACGAGGAGGCGTCGACGGCCCCGGAGGGGAGGCGACTCGAGGGCCCCCACCCGTTGATCCACGGCCTCCAAGATGACCCCAAAAAGCCCCCCAGGGCTCCCAATGGGACCCCCCAAGAGGGCTCCAAGAGGGCCCGACTGCCCAAAAGAGCCCCAACAATACCCAAAGATCCCCCAAAGGAGCCCCAAGAAGGCCCCAAGAGGCGACGTCGAAGGTTCTGCCCTCGCACTCGATGTCGTCGCCCTCCCTCTCCTCCTCCTACCCCCCTCCTCTTCCTCTTCCTCCTTCTCCTCCTCTTTCTCCTCTTCCTCCGTGTCCTCCTCCCCCATCGCCCTTGCCCTCGTCGCTTCGCGTCTCCGTTTTCTCCTCTTCTTCGTGAGGCAGCAGAAGTGTCATGACGCATCGCGCACTCTGAGCTTCTCCGATTCCGACGGGAAGATGACCGGCCCGAGACCGAAAATGCAAAACAGCTTCACCGCGCGCCGCGTCGCCGACAGGCCCGCCGCCGCCCCGAACGCGAGCTCAGCCTGGCGCCGCCACGTCGTCGCAGTCGCTGTCTTCGTCCTTTCTTGAGGGATGAAAAAACGGCCCTACCCTGGGTTGCAAGTGCGTTGACTGTAAACCCCCTGGGAACCCCCAAAGCCTAGAGCCGCCAGGGCGCGGCACATCACGCAGGGTTGACCCCGCCAGCCCCCCCCCTCTCCCCCCCCCCCCTCCTCGTCCTCTTCTCCCCCCCCCCCCCCCCCCCCCCCTCATCGTCATCATCTTTTCCCCGCCCCCACGCGGGCCCCCGGGATGCCCCGAAGAGGTCTTCTAAGGCCTTCGCTTCCTCCCAGAAGGATGTCTCTGGTCATGACCGCTTTGTTTAACGGAATGCGCCTTTTCGCCCCCAGCCCCGGTCTGCCCTCGCGCGCCGAGTTTATAAATGGGCCGGCAGGAACACGCGAAGCGTGAGGTTTTTGCTACCAGGGGCCGTGGCCCCCGCTTTGTGGGCCCAAATGGCCCCCTTGTCTGCGCGCAGGTTCCCGCGCGCTGGCAGCTATTATAAGCGAGGCCGGCATGCCGCCTAGAGCCACCTCTGCAATGGACCGAAAACGGCGAAACGAAAGCATCGAAGCGCGAATATAATTAGATCGCTGCGACCGGAACGATGGATATCTGCATCGCGAGCACCGCGGCAATCCGCGACATTCCGCGCCAGCCGCTCCAGGGGGCGCGCCCGCGGAGGCCCGCGCTGTCGCGCCGACCGCCGCGCGCGCAGCCTGACTCAAAGAGAACCCGCTGACGCTTGGCAAAACATGTAGGACTCGCCGGCCCACCCCCTGCAGGGCAGGGCGACCTGGTCAGAGCGCGTCTGGCCCGCGCCGCAGGCGCTGCTGACAGCGCGCCCGCGGGCTCCGAAGCGACCGCACACGCTGCGGCAGATGCTCGGCGAGCCTAGCTGCAAGTCCATGGCTGGAGGCGCGCACTCGAGGCCCTCGGAGCAGTCGCCTTCGAAGAACCTGCGCGAGCCACTCGCGCCGCGCACCTGCCCCTCGCCTCGGGCGACCTGGCGCCCAGCACCGTCGTCGCAGCACACGTGGCACTCGCCGACCCAATCCACGCAGGGCGCGGCAACCTTACCGCGGCACGTTTGGCCAGCGGCGCAAGCGCCGTTGACGCGGTCCACGCTGGATCCGAAGCTGCCGCACACCTCGCGGCGCATCCGCTGGCCCCCTTGGGGGCGCCTGTGAAGATGCTGCCGGGCTGCTGCCCAGTGTTTTTTTTTTTTTATTATTATTATTTTTATTTTTTTTGCGTTGGTTGTGTTCCTGTCTCCTCGCCCCGTCCAGTCACGTCTTCATTGTGTTCTCTGCTGGGGCGCCTTGCACCCAGAAAACGCCTCTGGGGGTTCCTCGGCCCACTGATCGCCCCAGGTTGTCCCAGGGCCCCACTGGGGCGCCAACGCACGGCCACGAGAGTCCAAGAGGCCTCGAAGAGGGCCCCAAAGGCCCACAGGCGGCCTGAGATGGCCTCAAGATGCATCTAAGAACACGCCCTGGAGAGGGTAGAGCAGATTGAAACCCACAGTAATGCCACTATGTTTTGCCCGTTCCACGGTTTGCTCCTAGGGCGCGCCAATATCGCTTCCAGACGGCCCGCAGAGCCTCCGAGAATGCCCCAAACGGCTCAATGGAGGCCCCCAAGAGCACCAAAATTACGCCGCCAAGATTGCCCCCAAAAAATCCCCAAGATGGCTCCAAGATGCCCCCGCGCGGCCCCCGAGATGGGCGCCAGACGCCCAAAGTAGCCCCAGCATTGCGCAGCGCGCCCCAGAAGCGGCCCGAGTAGGGCCCCGGGATCCCCCCAAGATGGCCCAAGAATGCCCCAAAACTGTCGCGGCATAGACGCTCGACGACTGGGCTGGGGGGCCGGCGGCAGCGGGCGCAGCCCTGGAAGTGCTGGGGGCGCCCGGCGGCGAGCCGGCAGCTGGCGGCGCGAGCGCGAGTCCGGCGGAGCAATCGCCAAAGAAGTAGCCGCTCGAGCAGCAGCCGCCGCGCCGCCGCCCCTTCCAGCCGCCCCGCCGCCCCGCAGGTGCTCGGCGAGCCCAGCGGCGAGCCCGCGGCTTGAGCCGCAGAAGTGCCCGCCCGAGCCACTCGCGCCGCACTGCTGTCCCTCGCCCTGCATGAACAGGCTGACGTCGTTGCAGCGCGCGCGGCACTCGCCGGCCCTCTCCCCGCAGGGCGCGGCAGCCTTGCCGGGGCACATCTGGCCCGCACCTGCGCCCGTCGGCCCCGAAGCTGCCGCGCGCCCTGCGGCAGGTGCTCGGCGCGCCCAGCGGCGAGCCCGCGGCTGGAGCCACGCGCGCGAGTCTGGCCGAGCAGCCGCCGTCAGCGGCAAGCGGGGGAGCTGTGGTCCTCACCCCCCTGGGGTACCCATCAGATCCAAGATTTGCTTTCCTGGTGCCCCCGCTCTCTCGACGAGCGCGACCAGCGCGTCGGCCATCGCGCCGGGGGTCGTTGCGCACGCAGCGAGTGGGACATTTGGAACTGACCCATAACGCGGTCTGTTGGGCGCGGCTCGCACAAAATGATACGCATTGCCTGCTCAGCTGCGTCGCTCGCGCCGCGCCAAGCGAGTGCCCCCCACGGCGCAGGCGCGATTGCACATTATCGGCGCGCACGTGCCAGTGTCAGACGGCAGTTCGCTCGCGATTCCGAGCGGCGCGGGCAATCGCCCGAACTTAGTTGCCATCGGCTTCGCGAGCTCGGTTCAGCATGCGCTCCAGTCCGTGCAATGCCGCCCCGATTCGCAGCGCCTGGATGCGGAGCGCTGCCGCTAAGTCCGCCAGGGCCTGCAGCCGCGAAATTAGAACCGCGTTTCGCGGGAACTTGGTTACAGAAGTTGGCAACTCATCGGAAAACTTTGCTTGCGAAGTTCGCGCGCGCGGGAATTCCCGATCGGTGTCTCGCGCGCTGCCAAGGCGACGCCAGATGAATATGTGCCTCTGTGCTGCGTAGAGACGCGCTCGCTGGGCTGCGCGGGCGCGATCAGGGAACGCCATGAACGCGCTGTGGGCGTAGGAACTTGGCGCGGCAGCTGGTGTCGAAGCGGGGGGCGATCGTTCTGCCTATTTCTCCGCCTTCGGGCAGCGTCTCCCGTCGGCCAGGTGTCTCCGTGCATGACGGCCAGAAGTTGGAGACGCGTCAGCCGTCAAACGGCATGGGGTATGGGGGCGCCCCGGCCCGTTACCACCGGGCGGTGGGCATTGGCATAGGGGCGGGCACGGGTTCCAGAGGACTCCAAAAACATCCGTGAAAGCTTGTTGCAGGCACCACCGCGGTAGCCGTACCTAATGATGTTCCCCTTGAACAATCCTGCCCCCGGTCTTCGCGACAAGGCCGCAGAATCGGAACCAGTCCGGCCCCCTTTTGACATACCCGGAACTGCTCCTCTGGGGGACGAGAAAAAATACCTAGTAGTGTTCCTCTAGCGGACGAAGAAAGCCTACCTAGTAGTGTTCCGCGAGTGGAGAAAAAACTGCCACTTTGGAAGCCCCCTGGGGGAGGCACAAGCCACTCTGGCGGAGACAACAAAAACAACGCGCAAGGGTTGCTCGGAAAATTCTGGGCGGCCGAGCGCAACCCCTTGGCTCCCCCATCCTCGCGTGCCGTCACTGCGGAAGACCAGCGCACCCTGCGGTCCCGCGAGGGCGTGTCTGGCATGCCCGTTCCTCCTCCTCCTCCTCCTCCTCCTCCTCCTCCTCCTCCTCCACCTCCTCCTCCTCCTCCTCCCTGTCCTCCTGCTCCTCCCCCATATTTCTTACACCCCGTTCCCCCCCTCTCCACGTCGCCTCCATCACCCTCACCACCTACGTCGATGTCCTTTCCTCGTACCCCTCCTCCACCCCTGCTCCGCATTCTCACTGTCGTCGTCTCCCGCGTGGTCAGGGTTGGACAGCGCCGCGCACGATCGTCCCGAATCTTTGCAACGGTTTCGCGCCGACGGCCGGTTGCAGGCGGCCATCCCTGCCCTTTGATTTTCGACGGTCCTCGCATTCCGGTTCAAATCATATCGCATGACGTTCAAGTGCTGTCGGGGTGGCGCCCCCTCGGACACGCAGTAGCGCAGTCCCCCTGCTGCGCGCTGCGTGGTTGATTTGTTTCGATCGTTGTTGCGAGGCGCGGGTCTGTAGGATATGTTTCATAGTTTGTCGACGCGGCGCAGTTTACCGTCGCGCGTCAAGCTGTCATATGTCCAGCGATTGCATTGCTTCGCACCCGATTGCCCCCATGCCTGCGTGCCATCCTCATGGAAGCGTTTGGCCGGCTCAGCCAAAGGTGCAGGATGCATGTTGTGCCGGTGTCCTGACATCGGGGTGCTATGGGCTTCACGCTCATGTTTGTTTGGCATAGCTGGCGTAGTTGTGGCGTTAGCTTGACACGGCCATCCCGGTGCCGGGTCGAGTGGGGTTTCTGGCACTGTCCAGCGAGGGGCTGATTCCAAGGCCGTCGCTACTACCCTACAGCATCACAACAGTACGAAGTCTCAGGTGCAACTGCTTGAAATTACGAAGACGAATCTCATCTAGGAGGGCGCCCCCAGCTCCCCCAGACCCGTGCTCCCCCAGAAATGGCTGGTCTGGTGAAAGTGCCCGTCCGAACCACTCGCGGCGCACTGCTGCCCATCGCACGGAGTTTTCGCGAGGAAGCGGCGCTTCCTGGTGGCAGCAGTTTCGGCATCAACGCTGCAGACAGAAGATCCAACGATCGACATGCACAGAAGCGAGCTGGCGAATGTCGGTGCCATGGCTACAGCGCAGTCGTCGGGACAAGCGCAATGGGTCGCGTTCTGTCTCGGAGCACCGAACTGGTTGGAATTCGAATGGCTGTGAGTGAAAAAAATTGGAGGGGGGCAGGAGCAAGAGACTGAGGAGGGGATGCAGGAACAGGGGTGCAGAGTAATGGAAAGGAGGGTGGGAAAAAAAGATTCTGCGGAAAACGAAAATGAAACGATTCCTGGAAATCCGTGTACATTCGGAACGCCGCATTCCTGTGAGAGGGTTCCTGCAGCTTTCAAGGGGCGCCCCCCCCCTCCTGGGCTGTCTTGGGACCCTCTTGGGCCGTCGAAAGGCCTCTTGGGGCTCTCTCGCGGGTGAAGAGGCACCTCTTCGAGGCTCTTGCCCGGCTCTGCGTGGGACACCGCTCTGCTGGACCTCCCAGGAGCCCACGAAAGAGGCGACGAGGTCCCGCCTGCATCTGCGCACTCCGCTGGCCCCCCCCAACAGCCCACGACAGGGGCAAGAGCTGCGCAGACCGTAGCCTCCAGGGACGGGCGAGTTCCCGCCTGGATCTGCGCGGAGCACCGCTCCGCCTGGACCTCCAAGGAACCCACGACCAGACGGAGGGCGAGCTCCCAAAAAGATCTCCGTGGGACGGAACTCCGCCAGACCTCCCGGGAGCCCACGAGAGTGGCGACGGGTGCGCGACTGCCAGGGGGGGGGGCCGAGGTCCCGCCTGGATCTGCGCGGAACACCGCTGCGCTGGATCCCCCAGCAGCCCTCGAGTGGCGGCAGTTCCACAGCTCGCAGCCCCCAGGGATGCCGAGGAAAGAGGCAGGCAGGAGGCAGACAGAAGATAGGAGGCAGGCAGGAAGTTGGAGAGAGCAGGAAGGAGGCGGGAGGAGGAGGTGGCGACAGCGATGCTTTATTCAAGATTATCCTGGCGAACATGCAGACCCTGCCATTGGTGCCTTCGTTGGAGATCACTGCGGGGCCACGCAATGTGTGAGGGGTGTGCCGAAATGGAGGCGGGTACCGCATGCGAACCCTGCCACTGGTGCCTTCAGTGGAGTTCCCAAGGGGGCCACGAAACGTGTGAGGGGTGCGCCGACATGGGGGGCGGGTACCGCATGCGAACCCTGCCACCCGGGCCTTCGATGGAGCTCCCCCATGGGGCCACGAAACATGTGAGGGATATGACAAAACGGGCACGCGCAGGGCACAGGCAGGTGTGGGAGGAGGGAGGAGGGAGGAGGGGGAGGGGGGAGGAGGAAAGGACAGGACGGGGCAATGCGCATCCAAAACGAACACCCAACACCACAGGACGGCTGGGACCAAGAACCCAATGGGGGGGTGGGAAAAAGAAACTGTAATGGAAGAGTTGGCAGCCCCCGAAGTATGCCGAGGTCTGATCTGTGTCCCCCCTCCGTACACGCTACGCTGCCCCCCCCCCAGCAACCCCCAGGCAGTTTGGTAGCTCACAGCTTTCGGGGGTCCTCTGACCCGGGTCAATCGAAACCCGGGTCAGCCAGGCCTTGCAGAATCCTGCAAGATCCTGCAAGATCCTGCACCCAAATCCGGGTCAATGCGAAGGATCCTGCAAGATCCTGCAGGATCCTGCACCCAAAACCGAGTCAATGCGACCCTGGCCCTGCAGGATCCTGCAAGGCCGGGGCGCTCTGGCTGACCCCCGTTTGCGTTGACCCCCGTCTCAAGGCTCCCGAAGCTTCATTGCTCGCAGCCCCCCGGCCATGTGAGGTCACCCCGGCAGCCCCCGAGAGTGGCGACAGCTGCACGCGTCGCGGCTTTACCAGAGATGGCGGGGAACCAACGGGGCCTGCAGAAGTCACCCACCATGCCGGACCCCGGTCGTCCTCGAACGTGGCGACGGCTTCACACTTCGCAGCCTCCCCCCCCCCCGGGGAAGGCGAGACCTCATCGGGGTCTGCGGAGACCAGAGGGGGAATAGGAGGAGGAGGAGGAGGAGGAGGAGGAGGAGGAAGAGGAGGAGGAGGAGGAGGAGGAGGAGGAGGAGGAGGAGGAGGAGGAGGAGGACCCCTCAGGGGCCCAAGAAGTGGCGACAGCTCCACGCCTCGCAGCACCCCCGGGATGGCGGGATCTCAGCGGGAGCTCTGGCGGCCACCCGCTGTGCCGGCCCGCCAGCAGCCTTCGGAGGGGGCGCCGGCTGCACACTGTTCGCAGCACCCCAGGGATGTCGAGAGCTCAACTGGGGAGGAGGAGGGAGGAGGAGGAGGAGGAGGAGGAGGAGGAGGAGGAGGAGGAGGAGGAGTGCTGAGGCCAGCCACTATGCCTAACACCCTGGCAGCCCTCGAAAGTGGTGGCATCTCACCACTTCGCAGCTTCCCCAGGGATGGCGAGACATCATCTGGATCTGCGGAGGCCACACACTCTGCTGACCCCCCCCGCAGTCCTCGAAGCGGCGACAGCTTACCGCTTCGCAGCCCCGTAGGGACGTATGGGTCTCAACCGAATCCGTGG